GTGAATTGCTAGAGGAGGATATGCTAGAGTACTATTAGCCTAGGCATGTGACAGTGAGGAACCTTTCTTGAAATTTTGGGGTGGTTACCTCTCCATTTCGATAAAAAAAACATGTAAGAAATGTCTATATTCATCTTTAGGGTACAATTGATGGGGTACCCTAATAATTTTCCAAATAAATACTCCATATGGGCTATGGGGTTGAATAAGAAGCCCAAAAGCTGGAATCAAACAGGCCAGCATAGGACTCTGAATGGGCCTAGAAAGTTAAACCCTTAACCCTTTTAATACGCAAGTGGAAACGAAGAAGAATTGAGAGCGGACGATCCCTAAACGCAGGTAGTGACTCCCAGTCCCACGGCTGCTGCAATTGTGAAGCAATGAGGCCACCGAGAGGTCGCGGCGGCGGATTCAGAGGCGGCAGAGACGGCGGCGGATTCAGGGGAGGTAGAGACGGTGCCCGGTTTGGCAGAGGAGGAGGAGGAGGTCGAAGCTTTGGCGGTCGGGGTTCTTATCGCGATGAAGGCCCTCCTTCAGAAGTCGTAGAAGTTTCTACGTTCGTGCACGCTTGCGAAGGAGATGCAGTTACGAAGCTTACCAATGAGAAGATTCCCTATTTCAACGCTCCTATTTACCTCGAAAATAAAACTCAGATTGGTAAAGTTGATGAGATTTTCGGCCCAATCAATGAGTCGGTGAGTTAATATCCATCCCCTCTTTAATTATTTGCTTGGATGTTTCTTCGTTCATAGATTATCATTGAAAATTATACTGTCCCTGTAGCTGTTCTCGATCAAAATGATGGAAGGAATTGTTGCAACATCTTATTCTGCCGGAGATAAGTTCTACATTGATCCGGCCAAGCTTTTGCCCCTCTCCAAGTTTCTTCCACTTCCCAAGTTCGTTTTCTTTCCACTGATTTGTCTTTTTTACCATCAAGATCTATTCTTTACATTGATAGGAATTTGATGAGTTTGGGCATTGTCAAAGTTTAACATTTGCATGTTTTCAATTCATTTGTCCGGATTCTGGAATTGTTGCTGCATAATGAATTCATGAAAAGCTTGAACGTGATTCCTAACTTGGAAAAATGAACTTGTGTGGAATTGGCATCAATGGAAAATTGAATGAATGTGAATGTGTACTTAATCTTGAACCTCAAACTTCACTTGATCAAGTTTAAACCTTGATATTAGACTTGGACTTTGAAATAAAGTTGTTGTCTACATGTTTTTGTTTTCACCAAAGAGGGATGCAAAATAATACAATAGGGAAAACAAGTACGATGGAATCGGGTTGAACATTTTAAATTGTAGGTAAATGTACATATTGGATAAGGAAGTAGTACGAAGTTGTATAGATCAACATAAAAAAGTAGGGTTCAGTAGATGATTTTGATGATGTCTGTAAATTTAGCAAATCGACAGAGTAATACATGTGCCACAACATGCTGAGTAAGTCTCACATGTGGTGTCTTGGGGGGTGGGTGTATGAGTGCCTTATCAGTTATCACATATGGTATCAGTAGAGGTTGTTTTTGAAAGGCACAGTACAAGAATAAAACACACAAATTTTCAACATAGAAATGTTAAGGCACATATATGTGAGAGTGAAACTTAGTTAATTGTTTACACATAGAGCAACAGCAAGAAGGAAATGCATGGTAATGTCCTTCACGACTTACAAAAGCCTCATATTTTATCTAATAGTCTCTCTGCAGTTCTTTTTTCTGCCTGCTTCTACCCCTTCTCAGATTTTTATCATCAATAATATTCGTTGACTTGTAATAGTTGTATCATATTAAAAGATTAGAAGTGTTGTACGTGTCTGAAGACTTTTGTTTAATATTGAGCAGTACGTTGTACGTGGCTATAACTGATAAATTTTGAAATGCCCATTCAAGTCTTTATATTGACAGACATGAATTTGTGTTCTTTTTTTACAGGGGACACCCACAAGCAGCCAGAGGTGGAGGTGGTGGAGGAAGAGGGAGAGGAAGGGGACGTAGTAGTGGTGTACGTGGAAGAGGCCCACCGCGGGGACGTGGACCACCACGGGGCCGTGGTGGTTTTAGAGGCAGGGGTGGAAGGGCATAGAATGGAGATCTGTTGTAGGCTCTCCTCCATGTTCGTGCTGAGGGTATCGATCTGAACATTTATTTCTGTTGTCTCTATAAGACATTTTCTACCGTTTCTATTTCAACCTTAGTTCTTTGACATTTTAGTTTGTCCTAATGTTTGAAGTGCATCAAAGCTCTGTATCTTTCTCTGACCCATTGCGCTATGTTACCATTCCATTTGCCAATATGCGATTTTCCATTCTAATCCCTCTGTTCCAATAGGACTGGACATGGTCCGGTTTTGGTTTCGACTCCAAAATTGTTTGTTTTGTGCTCCAATTATTTTTCGAACCGTAACCAAAAGTGAGATATAGCGGTTTGGTTTTGGTTTGAATTAGTTCAGTATTTTGTTTCTTATTCCTTCCGTCCCAAATTAAGTTATCTCTTTATTTACTTCCTCACACGTAATTTGTTTGGAGTAAGTTGTTCTCTTACTCCAGTACAACGGTAGAAACTGACATGAACAAAGCTTATTTTGTAAACAGAAACATGACACGGAACATAAATTGTGGAGCTCTTTACTATTGAAGTGTGTTGAACTCTACTTCTTCAGCAAACTCGCAAAGAAGACTCGTACGTTGAGCGAGCTTTGAGATGAGAAGTTAAAGCTCGACTTCTTTTTTTCAATATATTTGTTATTACGCCTGTTTCGGTTTACGATGTTTGACTGAAATTATTTTCAAACCATTTTATATGACAAATGGTATAAATTTAAAAATAAAAATTACATATTAAAAAACTACATCTAGTAGTGACAATAAAAAGAAAAACATAAGTTTTCAAACTGGTCACCTTACACACTGAGAATTCATTAGGCGTCCTTAATGGCATAGGCAGATTGAGGAAGATAAAGTGATTATGTGCACATTTTAATAAACAGGGGTAAAAACGGCATTGGGGTCCAAGGTCTCCAAATGTTTTTTTAGAGGCAATGTGAAACAACAATTTCAAACAAGCATTCGGATAATTTTTTGTTAAAAAAAGCCCAATATGGAAAAATATTACGGAGTATTTGAAGAGTGCATCATACTTATTTTACTTATTTCAATTGGAGTAAATTTTTAAAATAGTACTCAATAATTATATGTTCTCTCAAATTGGTCCCCAAGATAAATTAATTACCCCGACTAACAGTTTAGCCCTCCGACTAATAGTAATCAAATCAGTGTCAAAACGACATTAAAATTTATACGGCGTTTCTAATTGGTTTTTTTCTCAAATAAGCCTACTTTGGAAGCAAAAACTAATTAAATATGAAAACCCGAAGCATGAGTTTTCCCTCCTAATGGATTTATGGTGTTTCAGCAAAGTCAAGGGGCCATTTTTAATGCATTTTTATTAAAAAAAATAAATTTATTTGAAAAAACATCCAATTAAAATTGTCCATTCAGAAAAAATTAATAAACGGGAAGTTTATTTGTGGACGGATGAAATATTATTTTGTGAATTTAGTCTTTTAATTTATAACTATAGAAAAGTAATCATTAACCAATGATTTGGTCGAAGCTCATAAGGCCTCCTCCATAACATTTTTATTTTTACTAACTTACATTTCAGAATCATTATATAAAGTTAATTATACTAAAAACTATTGTTAAATCAATTTCACAATAAATTAAGTAAACAAATAATTTTAAAGTAGGGGGTTTTCGGCTTATTGGGATCAATAGAGATATGATGCTGAGTAAAAAAGACGATTTTTTTTTTGAGACTTTGGAGAAGTGAAATGGGTGAAAAGTGATCTCCCTGGTAATTGCAGGGAGTAAAATGTATTTTTTTGTGAGTAATTGTAGGATGTAATTGAAATATTAATAAAGCAACACCCTTATTCATGTGACATTAGTGCTCAATGTCATGAGAGTCAATGTCACATGAATCGTAGGTGCCCGGGTCATGGTATTATATCGAGAGCCAATGTCACATAAAATTTGGTGTACATCAAGATCTATACATTAAGCTTATCACGGACACACATAGATAATAAATGTTTGTGCACTATACAATGTGTGTATGCGATATATGTCGTGTACCATTCGCACAACCTTTAAAATATACTCCCGTTGTCCAGTTTGAATCTTTCCGGTTTGCGTTGTGATGTTTGACCAACTTTATTTTCAAAGTTTATTTAATTGTAGATGTAAAATTACAAAGTAAAATTATATATTTAAAACTACATCAAAAGATTTACAAAATTAGATATGAGGGATTATATAAAGTGGGACAGAAGGAATATATAGTACACTCTTTGTTCGGAATAATGCTCCTAGTTACTATTCACAGGTCAAACTAAATTTACTTTTATATATATATATTTTCATTGATTATTTGATAAAATAAAATTTTAATATCCACTTAGTTTGTAGAATTTTAAAACATTGTACACATTAATAAATGCCTCGGGGTTTTTTTTCTTCTCTCATAGAATTCCATCTTAATTTTTAACCTCTTTGGATAATAATTGTATTTCTTAGCGAAAATCCTTGAAAATCATTTTTAGCGAAATCTCTATGATTTAAAAAAACCTTTGTTCTTGTATACTAAAGAGTTAGATGTATAAATACAAATTTCACATATATTTGTCTTTTTTCCCGGCAATTAAAAATAAAATATCCATTATTCTAAACTTTTTTTACCGGTACCCATTTTCTATTTGTTTTTTTTGTAAACTACATTATTCTAAATTCTTTTGCAAACAAATTTTGTCATGAAAATATAAACAAAATACAGGTGTCTAAATACGGTGTCTTAATTATTGACTTACGGTGCAATCACATTGAACCTACACAGGTCACCGCGTACCTAAAATGTTCAAATCAATTAACAGCCGTCAGATCTTTCTTAAACTGACGGTTGCGATATCGCAAGAATTATACCGTTAGAGGGTTACCTTAGAAGTCTGTGATTTCAAAAATATTAGACCGTTGAAGCGCCTCTCCCATAAGCTTTTTAAGCAGGCGCTATCTGTGTTCTTCTGAAAATCCTTCATCTCCGAATTCAGAGCGAGAGAGAGAGAGAGAGAGGAAGAGGAAGAACAAGAAGAAGAGGGATCCGGAGAAAAGGAGATTCCAATTTGCAAGGCTTATCAGAAAGAAGAATGGCTTCAAGAAACGATGTTCAGCCACTGAACAGAGGAGGTATCAATCATCAAGAATCTGATTTTGCAGTTTTTAGATCCTAATTTCTCTCTGTTCTTCGTTTTTTCTTCTGCAATTAGATGGATTCTGTAAATCTTGGTCTGGGCGTAGTGTTGTTTTTTCCCCAATTTAACTGCAAACAAATGAATTTATATTTGTAAATCTGAATCTTCGTTTTCTGGGCATTGGATTTGATGGTCACTCTGTTTAATATTTGGACTGTTTTCATCTCTTCTTTCTGTCTGATCTTCAATTGTTTGATATATATATATCATAGCCCCGAATTCCACACCTTTTTGTTGAGATGATACCCTTTTCCAGATCTAAAAAACTGTGAGCGGTTTTATTTATTTGGTTTGGAGCAATTGATCGAGAGAAATCTGATCACAGATTCTTTTTTGTCTCCATGGGTCAAAATCGTCTGTTTTAGGGTGTTTCTTTACCAACCTAATCCCAAATGAAATTCTTGCAGAGGCATTCCCCGGAGGACAGAAGCCAAAGAACATGGCGGCGGCACCAGACGGGAGGAACCGCCGGGCGCTTGAGGACATCGGAAATAAGGTGACCATCCGAGGGGTTGACGGCGGCGGTCACAACAAGGTCAAGCTTCCTCAGGTTTCTCGCCCTCTCACAAGGGGCTTCTGTGCCCAACTTCTCGCCAACGCACAAGCTGTTGCCGCAGACAACAAGAACAGGGTAAAACAATCTGATATAATTGAAGAATCCTGAATCTGAGATTAATCTGAAATCAATCTTGAATTTAATCCCACCCGTTCTTGTTCTGTTCTTGAATTGCAGAAACCTCTGGCTGTGGTCAATCTGGAACCAGGAGCACTTCCTGCTAAAGTGCCAAGAAAACCTGCTGCTGTTCATAAGAAAGCCGCTGTTCCCAAGCCTGAGGATTTGATTGTAATCAGCCCTGACACTGAAGACGTTCACAATGCCAAGAAAGACTCCAGAAAGGCATCTGAAGCTTCATCCAAGAAGACTTCTTATACTTCAACTCTCACTGCTAGAAGCAAGGTTTATATTAATCTCATACCTCTGGACTTTCCCCATTCATCTCATTGATTTAATAGCAGTAAATGAATGGTTCTTTAAGAATTCTTCCTTCAATTTTCACACACAGGCTGCTTGTGGACTGAACAAACCAAAGGTTCGGATTGAAGATATCGATGCTGGAGATGAATACAACGAGCTGGCAGTTGTTGAGTATGTAGAAGACATCTACAGGTTCTACAAGGAAGCAGAGGTGTGTTTTTCCTCCAGCATTTCTCAATTTGTGCCCAACATTCTTATGAATATGAGTTAAAAATCTTGTCTTTTTTGCTTACCCAGAACGAAACCAGGCTTCATGATTACATGGGATCTCAGCCAGAGATAAACGAGAAGATGAGATCAATCCTGATAGACTGGCTAATTGAAGTCCACCACAAGTTCGAGCTCACATCAGAGACTCTCTACCTCACAATCAACATTGTGGACAGATACCTGGCATTGAAGACCACATCAAGGAGGGACCTGCAACTGGTCGGGCTTGGCTCCATGCTCATAGCTTCGAAGTACGAGGAAATCTGGGCACCCGAAGTGAACGACTTCGTGTGCATCTCCGACAGAGCTTACACCCACGAAAAAGTCCTGCAGATGGAGAAGCTGATTCTCGGGGAGCTGGAATGGTACCTCACAGTTCCCACCCCATACGTCTTCCTGGTCAGGTTCATCAAGGCTTCATCTTCTTCCGAACCAGAAATGGAGAACATGGTCTTCTTTCTTGCAGAGCTGGGGATGATGAACTACGCCGCCTCCGTGATCTACTGCCCCTCCATGATCGCCGCCTCTGCAGTGTACGCCGCGAGGTGCACCCTGAACAAGACCCCAGCCTGGAACGAGACGCTGAAGCTCCACACGGGCTTCTCTGAGGCGCAGCTGGTGGATTGCGCCCGGCTTCTGGTCGGGTACCATTCGGAGGCCGCGAATCACAAGCTTCGGGTCATCTTCAGGAAGTATTCTCATGCCCAGAAAGGTTCTGTTGCTGCGCTCCCCCCTGCCAAGTCTCTCTTGGCCACTACTACTACTGCTACTAATGCTTAGAGCAGATGGATATCATAATAGGTTTTGGTGCACAAAAAAAGTGATATGTTTTGATCACTTGGAATTCTATCAACTTGTCTGTTGTCTTTCTGAAAACACTTCAGATTGTCTTGTGTTGCATTCATTAATATGATGATTCTTTTCGTTTCATTGTTCAGCGTCATGTTTATCTCTTTTCTCAAGATGATTTCCCCCATATTTCGAATTATATATGGAGTACCTCTTGTAGAAACTAGAAACGAATTATGGGTAAAAGGGAAAACGAATTATGTGATTTCCCACATGCTCATACCCTAATAAAAATGATCAAATCTAATCGCATATAGGCGAAAAGAACAAGTTCTAAGAGCCCAACACCAAAATTAATCTGAAAAAGGCTTCATATTTTGGAGATAAATAATATGATTTGGCCTACCAAAATTGATTGCTTTAAAGAAATAAAGTTTTTAATAACTTGTAGTTAGAAAATTTGACTAGAAATCAATCTGAAAAAAGGATTTTTTTTGTGTTGTAGGGGGGGGGGGGGGGGGG